GTAAAATATGATTATTAAACAACTAATCGATGACTAAAAAAGTTGTTAACTATTTTAATAATCGATTATAATTGATTAGTTGTTTCAGCTCTAATTTAAAATGATTCTGTAAACTCCGTGTATCAATAGAAACAATCTCTGCCTCTGCCAGCTGCAGTAAATGTAGTCTCCAAGAATAAATAAGAGGTGCATTCATCTGTGTATCTCCTTTGACCCGCATTAGTGATATTCTCAGCACCAGAACAGTGAAGCAACGAAAGATTCCTGAGTTTGTTAGTAATTTTATATATTAGGTGCATATGACCTGTTCTATTTTTCTCTGAAATGAGATCAAATCATTGCTTCTATGGGTTGTCTCCAATCTGCACTGGAAATTTTTACTTTATTTCGAGACGTGTCATAATTTCTCCCCAAGCCCCCCCCCCCCCCCCCCCCCCCCGCCACAGCTGGAAAGATTCCAAGGGGAAACACTGCACAGGGCTTGTCCGTGGACTGGAAACTGTAGTTTGAGCAAAACCATGCATTCTGCAGAATGGTGTTGCACTTTCGTCGAGATGAAACAGAAGGGTCATCTCAGACCCATACTCTCTTACTTCAGCTCGAATGTCCTCGTAGGGACGCCCATCCTCATTCGACGTGAGGCGGGGGCAGGGAGCCAATCTCCACTTTGGGCCACACCAGTTGTGTGGTAGGAGAGAGAGCCATTCTGGGCTTTTTGGACAGGGAGCCATGAAACCAGACGGGAGATTTGGGGAACTGGATCTTGACATCGTTGGAGGCAGGTCACAGCGTCGTGTGGACGGACCCAGGAGGGACCCGCTCTTACAATAATTCACAACATTCTCCCCGCCGATGAACTGTAGTTCATCTAAAGTTCCAAAAGATACAACAGTTGAACAGGTCTTCTCAAGACAGCCCCAGTGCTGGTGCAAACCAAGCATGAACGCACAGACCCTTCACGGCCAGGGAACAGTTCCTCAACTCTTCCAAGTTTCCAGCACTGTCGGGGTACGTTGTCCTTACCTATGAGCACCACATCCCCCACCTTTGGTATGGAGGGTTTTGGTGTCTCACAGCGACAGCCTGGAAGAACTGTAAGATTTTGCAAACAGTGATTCCTGTGTCACAACTCAACATTCTAGATGAGATTGTGATTGTGTGTGCTGCTCTAACAAACCTCTGTAAGAGTGTTGTTCCCAAAAAAATCACCAAAAATTATCAACTCCCATGATCCCATGCAGACAAGAAACAGTGCTACTGTCATTTGCTAGAATATGTAAAACTGATCTTGCATTAGTGTACGAAAAAAATGGAAATCTGCTACTATGTTTTTTTTGTACTAAATAAACAATTTTAAATTTTCTTTGTATGTGATTGTCAGAAACATTTCGATTGTGCACTAATTAAATCTTTGTGGTTTCAACATTAGATGCAAACTAAAATACACACGTACAAACACCGTTGAATCCTAAAGAATTGTTTATTTGAAAATAATTTGAGCATCAACACCATTCTTTTAAATCCAAGAATTAGCCAGAAGGCTTGCTTACATTTAACTTGGAAAGCTCAAGACTCAGCACAGTCCAGACATAACCACATTGTTGGTTTGCGTCTGATGTTTACACAGCTGTAATGAAGGTGACTGCTGCATTTATTACAGTCTATTGTTTTGCCAAACTCTGGCCTTCTGCAGAGCTTGCATGCTCTCTGTGATTCCAATGCAGGATTGAATCTTCTCGTTAGGAGCTCTGGCAACACTTGGGAAACGAAGGCCTCCTGAGCTTTAGGCAAAGTGTCCTGCAGAAGTGTGTGGTCTTTACCAACACGCTGCAAAATGAACTCTTTCTTCGTCCACACCACAAAGTCACAGTAGTTTACATCACACACAAACATGTGGAGCTGAATCTGGCAGTAGTATGTGTGTGAGGGCTTCAACACTAACGAGTTGTCTAGGCAGAACTTGGGGTCTTCGGTACTTCCCTGAAGACTCTCCCTGTACTTGTAGGGACATTTGATCTCCACCACTCCTTTACCACAGCAGGTACATGTAACTATCCCATCTGGGGATGATCCAAGGTATGGCTCAGATGGCTGAACAACTAAACCGCCGGTGCTGACCAGGAGTCCTTGGTGATTTTTTGAAATGAAATCACTATACTGTTGTCTAGCGGTTTGCTCCATATTTTCACCCCAGATAACAGATGGGACATGTAATGTGGTCTTATTGTACTGCAATATGTCCATTATGTAATTTTTGCTGAGCTTGTCTGTTGTGGCCACATGGTGACATTTTGTACTTGTGATCCTACCAGCCCTATGGATATGCCAGTCATGTGACTTTGACTGCTGCCTTGTTGCCCATTGTAGTTTTTCTAGTTGATGATGCTGCGTTGTAGTTTTTAGTCTTTGAAATGTTTCTTCACACTTCACATTTAATTCCTGTGGTGAGAGCTCCCTGAGTGTAGTGTCAAATAAAGCAGTCAAGGGCTCTGGCCAGCCAGTTTGTTCCTCTGTATCCGTGTCTGATGAAGCTGTATCTGTGTCACTGTTGTCCATGCTTGTCCGGACTGCAGCTTCTGGCTCCACTGCCTTTAGTTCCAGGATGTCATCATCTGGCAAGGCTGGGGAAAGGGTAATAAGACATAATTAGAATGCAGTTTTAATACATTTTATGTTTCTATCTTTTCCTTTATCTAAAGACACAGAATAAATTATTACCAATTAATTAAGAAATAATTAGGGGTGGGCCGTTATCGGCGTTAACGCGCTGCGGCAAAGCCAGACTCTTATCGCGCGATAAAAAAAATGACGCCGTTAATCTATTCTCAAAGTTGGGTTGGATCTGGGTCTATACTAAGTAAGCTATGATGACTTTCACATTGCGCGGATGGATACCTGGTTGGCGCAGATGTATACTCGGCGCGGATCATCGTACGTATGGACGGACGCCAGGCTCGCGGAGTTTAATGTTCCCCATGCAGCCGAACAGTCGCAATTTCGCCACCAGCAACGCTTCTCCCTTCTCATCGCGCGGGACAAGTAAATAATTTATGTGCTTTCACCAGAGTTTAATCCATAAATCCGACTTTCATTCTTTTTTATTTTGTTTTGTTTACCCCCGACATTTCCAGCCGGGCTTTCCCCGGGCCACACTTCACCGTCCGCGGCCGAAGCAGCGCTCGGATGGGAGAAAACCGAGACAAGACTTTCTCAGACAGGTGCGGTTTCCAACTAAGTTCAGCTCTTTTAGCAGCTGTTTATTGTGATCAAGTGATAAATTGTTCCTACAGGTCGTTGTTCATGTGGCTTCGACTCAAATTCACCTGTAATAATAAACGTTTTACTCATACATTTTTATATTTGTTTAGAAAAGTTGAGCTAGGATGACTCCCCTTGCTGTTTTCAGAGACAACAACAGCAACAGTTGGCTTCTGCTCATACAGGTGAGCTGTGGCATCATTTCCAGCTCTCGCTCCTATTCACCAGAGGCGATCCTACATGCAAACTAAAGGGGGGCATCGGAAGGGCACCCCAGAAATTTAACCCCCTCCCCAGGCCAGATAGTTTGTGTGTGTGTGTGTGTGTGTATATATATATATATATATATATATATATATATATATATATATATATATATATATATATATTTTTTTTTTTATATATATATATACTTTTTTCTTTAGCAGGCCATATTGTGCAGAAGAGAAGATCTAGTTTGTCACCAGACAATGTGAACAAGCTGGTCTGCTTGAGTGACTGGTGGAAGAAGGAGAAATAGAGCTTGGACTGATTGACCAAATGCTACTGACTGTAAATAGTTAATCATGACCTATTCTGTAGACCTACAGTGCAGAATTTGTTGAACTGAATAAACAGCTATTAAACACAAAAACTTATTGATCATTATTTATTTTCATCATCAGTTATCGTAGTAAAACTGCTTTATCAGTCTGTGATGCATTATTGAAACAAGAAATATGCCTCCATTCTCAACGACTTGCTTTTATTCATTATCTAGGTAGCACACACATATGCCCTTGGCAGAATTTTGAATGAGCCATTTTAATCTAGATTAATCTAGATTAATTCCAAGATTACAGTGAGATTAATCTAGATTAAAAAAATAATCTATGCCCACCACTAGAAATAATACATTCAATGTGCAACCACAAACCAAAACTTAGATTACACTTGTCATTCGTTACATGCCTCATAGTGTGACACTGCTCCTCCTAACAGTTCCGGAAGCAGCTGGGAGCTGTCTGCAAATCTTCTTCGGTTTGTGGAAACTGATCTTCTTCAGTGGAGCTGGTTCTACATTTTTCCTGCTCAGGTCTTTCCATGCACATGCCTGAGATGTAACTGCAGCCTTTTCTTTTTTTCCCATCCTAACACAAAGCTCAACTTTGAATAAAATTGCTGCTGCGTGGCTGCAGCATGACCCAAGTCTGGAACATCAAAATGACAGAATTAAACAAATTTATACGCTTTATTTCATGCTTCAAATTAACATTTCATTCTGATTCATCTGTATTTTCCCTCTGCATATTAGTATAAACTGTATTTCTCTAAAATTAACACGATTAAACTCTGAGCACGCTAAAAAAAGAAACCTATGCTATACTCACCCTGCCATGCAGGTACAGATGGCTGTGAAGACGTAGTTCTCTGGTTTGTTTACTATGACCCAAGCCTCGTACATAGCAGTCTTGTGTCCTTGTCTTTGGCTAGGAAGGACTTCTGCCTTCAAGACGCAAAACTCAGAGTCTGTGTCGTGATATTTTACTTTCTGTACGTGGCCACAGACAACATAGTTGTATGCATCTAACGATTTGTATGCCCGTAGCTTCTCACGTATGTACTTACTGGGCCTCTCCACTAAAAACGTATACATATCGGGCCACTGGATATCTGGCCACGCACCTACATCTTCCACCCATTCCGTAATGCCACAGGGATCCGGGAGTCTGTTGCCATTCGTTAAAGTGGTTTAATAATATAACATTCAAGATTTGCCGGTGATAACCCAGCAGCGTAGCTTGATAAAGCCTGACACAACGCCATTCTCTGTTGCCAAGCTGCGCGCGCATTCTCGCTGACGTCATATTGTTTACAAACAGTAAAAGGGTCTATATGTTTTTATCTAAATGAAGTTCATGTTCTTGTTCCTTTTTCCCACATCATGTAGCCAGTATCACTCATGGTGTAAATATAAAGGTATGGTGGTCTGTAACATCATGTGTCTGTGTTTCCTACAGATGTTCCACAGCTGGTGCTGGTTAAAGAAGAAGCTCCTGAAGAACAGAGTGCTGGTGTGGACCAGCAGGACCCAGAACACCTCCACATAAAGGAGGAACAGGAGGAGCTCTGGACCAGTCTGGAGGGAGAGCATCTCTGTTTGAAGGAGGAGACTGAAGCTGTCGAGTTTCCTGTTACTGCTGTTTCTATAAAGAGTGAGGATGATGAAGAGAAACCTCTGGTCTCACAGCTTCATCAGCAGCAAATAGAAGACAGAGATGTTCCAACCAGCAGCTCAGCTGACCAGATGGCAGCAGAAACTGGTGGAGGAGCAGGAACTAGCAGGAACCCAGATCTGAACCCTCATGAACAAACATCTGATTCTTCAGAGACTGAAGTTAGTGGAGATGATGATGATGATGATGATGGTGTGAATCTGGACTCTGAGCTGTCAGACTCTGGGTCTGAAACTGGAGATGAAGATGATGACTGGAATGAGAGCAGGTCTTCTGAGTCAGATGGTAAGTCTGTCAACAAGTTCTTCACAAGTGGTCTCTCCAGAGACACGTGAGGGAGACAAGTCATCCAGCAATAAGGTCTTCAGGCTGTTTGGTTCATAAGAAATGTTTTAGAGTGCAGCAACATGTACAGGTGCTGGCCATTAAATTAGAATATCATCAAAAGGTTGAAAATATTTCAGTAATTCCATTCAAAACGTGAAACTTGTACATTATATTCATGCAATGCACACAGACCAATGTATTTCCGATGTTTATTACGTTTAATTTTGATATTTATAGGTGACAACCAATGAAAACATCAAATCTGGTATCTCAGACAATTAGAATATTCTAAAGGCCAATGAAAAAATGTTTGTTTCTCTAATGTTGGCCAACTGAAAAGAATGAACATGAAAAGAATGTGCATGTATAGCACTCAATACTTAGTCGGGGCTCCTTTTGCCTCAATAACTGCAGTAATGCGGCGTGGCATGGACTCGATCAGTCTGTGGCACTGCTCAGGTGTTATGAGAGCCCAGGTTGCTCTGATAGTCGTCTTCAGCTCCTCTGCATTGTTGGGTCTAGCGTATTGCATCCTCCGCTTCACAATACCCCATAGATTTTCTATGGGGTTAAGGTCAGGCGAGTTTGCTGGCCAATCAAGGACAGGGATACCATGGTCCTTGAACCAGGTGCTGGTGGTTTTGGCACTGTGTGCAGGTGCCAAGTCCTGTTGAAAGGTGAAGTCTGCATCCCCATAAAGTTGGTCAGCAGCAGGAAGCATGAAGTGCTCTAAAACTTCCTGGTAGACGGCTGCATTGACCCTGGACCTCAGGAAACAGAGTGGGCCAACACCGGCAGATGACATGGCACCCCACACCATCACTGACGGTGGAAACTTTACACTGGACCTCATGCAACGTGGATTCTGTGCTTCTCCGCTCTTCCTCCAGACTCTGGGTCCTTGATTTCCAAAGGAAATGCAGAACTTGCTTTCATCAGAAAACATAACTTTGGACCACTCAGCATCAGTCCAGTCCTTTTTGTCCTTGGCCCAGGCGAGACGCTTCTTGCGCTGTTTCTTGTTCAAGAGTGGCTTGACACACGGAATGCGACACCTGAATCCCATGTCTTTCATGAGTCTCCTCGTGGTGGTTCTTGAAGCGCTGACTCCAGCTGCAGTCCACTCTTTGTGGATCTCCCCCACATTTTTGAATGGGTTTGTCGTCACAATTCTCTGCAGGGTGCGGTTATCCCTAGAGCTTGTACACTTTTTTCTACCACATTTTTTCCGTCCCTTAGCCTGTCTGTTAATGTGCTTGGACACAGAGCTCTGCGAACAGCCAGCTTCTTTAGCAATCACCTTTTGTGTCTTGCCCTCCTTGTGCAAGGTGTCAATGATTGTCTTTTGGACAGCTGTTAAGTCAGAAGTCTTCCCCATGATTGTGGTGCCTTCAAAACAAGACTGAGGGACCTTTTAAAGGCCTTTGCAGGTGTTTTGAGTAAATCAGCTGATTAGAGTGGCAGCAGGTGTCTTCTATATTCAGCCTTTTCAGAATATTCTAATTTTTTGAGATACCAAATTTGGAGTTTTCATTAGTTGTCACTTATGAATATCAAATTTAAATGTAATGAACATTGGAAATACATTGGTCTGTGTGCATTGCATGAATATAATGTACAAGTTTCACGTTTTGAATGGAATTACTGAAATATTTTCAACCTTTTGATGATATTCTAATTTACTGGCCAGCACCTGTAGACTCGTGCAGGAAAGTCCAGAAGAAACCTAAATCATTTAGTCATGATGACTGTGGAGAAAGGTTTCTGCTCAGAGTTTATTTATAATAAAGATAAGACTGTCTGTGGGGGAGTGTGTGTGTAGGCTTTCAGGCATAGAATAATACATTCAGTTAATAATAAACATAACATAATCCCTCCTGTTTATCCGAATAGGATAACCAAACAAAAAGAAAACAAGAACAAATAAAGTAATCAAAACCTTCAAAACCTCTCGATTCACTGCGCTTCTCTCTCCAGCTGCTCTCGGGCCCTGTCCACACGTAGCCGGGGATCTGCCAAAACGTAGATATTTTTCTACGTTTTGGCCTGTCATCCACACGAAAACGGAGTTTTTTCACACGAAAACGGATATTTTTAAAAACTCCGGCCAAAGTGAAGATCTGCGTTTTCTCCGTTTTGGGTGTCTGCGTGTTGACGGACAAAACCGGAGTTTTAAGGTCCGCAACGTCACTTTCCGCGACAAAAAATGCTGACATCACGTGTGCGACCTGTGTTTACACTAGCCGGCATCATGGAAGCCCTCAGAGCTGCGCTCTGTCACTACCCGATCCATCAGTCGTCCAAGCGCTTTCTGCTTGTTTGTTTTTGCAAGTGGAATTACTGCTCCTTGCGGAAGACCACAGACGAAGGACGAGGTTAAGAACGGGGGAAGTACTGCCGCCTACAGGTCTGGCATGTCCATAACAACGTATTTATCCGGGTACGTGTGGACAGAGTTTGTTTTTAAAACGCGGTGGTGTGGATTCAAGTTTTTGGAGGGGCGGATATTCGTTTTCAAAAAACCCGGCTACGTGTGGACTAGGCCTTAGTCTGGCTTTTCAACTGTTTGTGCAGACCTCTTAATCAGCTGATGTGCACCAGCTGCCCTGTGGGGAGCAGCAGCAGGCCAAAGGGTTCCAGATAATGGCTCCCTCTGGTGGGGTAATTTAGCTGGATCATGGGGTTCACCTCACAGGATGAACAGAGGGAGATAAACTCATCAGCCCAAATACAGGGGGCTGTAACATGAGTGTGAATTAGTCTCATAAAATGTTTAAAAATATATGATGATCTCTAATCATTTTTGTCAGGCATATTTTTTGTTTCTCTGAGCAGAGACTGTCTAAACGTCATGGTAGAAAATAGTTTGCATTTAGCAAAAAATCATGTTGATGAGTTTATTTTAATTATTCCAACAAGAAGTATGTAAATGCCAGAGCAGGTCACTACAAACTCCACAGACGGGAGGGGGGCATTGTAGTTGTCACCTTTTTCCACACCCCGAGTTTGCAGGTATGTTACCACCAGCGTAATTAGCAGTCTTACTGTACTTACGCTTATCCTTAGCCAGCAGTTTCAGGTAGGATTTAATGTCGCCCGCTCTGGCCCCAGGTAAACATTTGACTATGGTTGCTGGAGTCTCTGCCACGTTTCTGACTATGGAGCTGCCAATTACCAGAGTTGGGTTGTCAATGGGTGCATCACTGAGTGACCCCAGCAGGGTCTAAAAAAATCCGGTCACAATCTATTTTTATCTGCCAACGTTTACTGCAGTTACGTTAATCACTTCAGACAAAAAGTTGGGTTGGGCATCGTTTGAATTTGAACGATTCCCCTGTTTCAATTCCAGTTCCTAACGATTCCTGATTCTTTCAAGGTCAAAAACATTACATTTTTCAAATGAGCCAACTAACCACAGGTCCTACTTGGACTTGAATTTTAATTCTATGAACAATAACATCACCTTTGTTTAGACTAAAACGTTTTCAAAAGAGAAACTAAAGAAAGACCGTCAGTGTGTTTATTTCTGACCATAACTCACAGCCTTCTACTCACAACCAATGTGAAGAAGCCTCTAGGATGATAAGAAAAACGTCTTCAAGATGACCAGAAATGTCCAGCTGTTTTTATATTAAAGCTCAGGATGATCATGTCCAGGATGACAGAGAATCTTCACCTAATGCAGGAAATGTGAGCCGAAGTGGAAGAAATCTAGGTCACGGCCCTCATTTTAAGACATGAGGTCTGCATGGTGTTCCTATCAAATGGCTGTAAAAAAGGTAAAATCCACTTTTTTATCTGATATTATTAGCTCTGATGAGCATAGCCTAAGAGTACTATTTTCTACCGTGGATGAGATTTGAAATCCTTCGTGTGCAGGTGGACTTAAAGTCTCCTCGACTACTGCTGAGAGGTTTCTGACATAATTTATAGGCAAAACTGAAACTATTCAAGCTCAAATTCCCCAGCAGTTTAGTTTTATTGATGAAGAAATCTGTTTTGATTCAACTATTTTAAATTCTTTTGACTCTGTATCCCCAGATATGTTGGATGAAATTGTTGGAAGGATGAAACCATCCAGCTCTGCACTCGACATCATTCCTTCCTCTATTGTTAAAAATGTTTGGCCAGCTATTTCAAATATGGTTCATAATGTAATCAACTCTAGTCTGCAGTGTGGGCAAGTTCCAAAGAGTCTGAAAAGAGCTGTAATCAAACCCCTTCTAAGGCTGGGCGATTAATTGAATTTAATCTCAATTACGATATGGAATTTTAACGATCATGAAAAGAAAAAATCCCGATTTTTTTGTTCCGTTCATTTGTTTCCCCCGTGCTGCTTTGTGTGTAGACACTCTCTCACACTAGCCACGTTGTGTGAGGCACAACATAACACAGTGCTGGAAGCCCGGGAGACTGTCAGACTGCTCTCCCCACAGCCACCCCCATGTGTGCTCGTCTTCAGCAGCGGTGCTAAAGTTTCAAGCAAGGCTAGTGTGTTAGCAGTCACGCAGAAAAGATGAGGGGGAGATAATGGCTGAAGAAAGACAACCGCTGGTGGAGAAAAAAGGAAAAATCGTTTCTGTGATGTGGAAACACTTCGGGTTCGAGGAAGCATATGTGTGTCAGCAAACAATAATATGTAAATATTGCCTTGCTTGCGCCACAAAGAAACATGATAAATCTTTTTAACCACTTAAAGTCATCAAACAAAGTGATATACGATCAGGCAAAGAAAGAACAAATACAAGGAGTGCAGAATTATTAGGCAAATGAGTATTTTGTCCACATCATCCTCTTCATGCATGTTGTCTTACTCCAAGCTGTATAGGCTCGAAAGCCTACTACCAATTAAGCATATTAGGTGATGTGCATCTCTGTAATGAGAAGGGGTGTGGTCTAATGACATCAACACCCTATATCAGGTGTGCATAATTATTAGGCAACTTCCTTTCCTTTGGCAAAATGGGTCAAAAGAAGGACTTGACAGGCTCAGAAAAGTCAAAATAGTGAGATATCTTGCAGAGGGATGCAGCAGTCTTAAAATTGCAAAGCTTCTGAAGCGTGATCATCGAACAATCAAGCGTTTCATTCAAAATAGTCAAAAGGGTCACAAGAAGCGTGTGGACTAACCACGGTGCAAAATAACTGCCCATGAACTGAGAGAAGTCAAGCGTGCAGCTGCCAAGATGCCACTTGCCACCAGTTTGGCCATATTTCAGAGCTGCAAGATCATTGGAGTGCCCAAAAGCACAAGGTGTGCAATACTCAGAGACATGGCCAAGGTAAGAAAGGCTGAAAGACGACCACCACTGAACAAGACACACAAGCTGAAACGTCAAGACTGGGCCAAGAAATATCTCAAGACTGATTTTTCTAAGGTTTTATGGACTGATGAAATGAGAGTGAGTCTTGATGGGCCAGATGGATGGGCCCGTGGCTGGATTGGTAAAGGGCAGAGAGCTCCAGTCCCACTCAGACGCCAGCAAGGTGGAGGTGGAGTACTGGTTTGGGCTGGTATCATCAAAGATGAGCTTGTGGGGCCTTTTCAGGTTGAGGATGGAGTCGAGCTCAACTCCCAGTCCTACTGCCAGTTTCTGGAAGACGCCTTCTTCAAGCAGTGGTACAGGAAGAAGTCTGCATCCTTCCAGAAAAAACATGATTTTCATGCAGGACAATGCTCCATCACACGCGTCCAAGTACTCCACAGCGTGGCTGGCAAGAAAGGGTATAAAAGAAGAAAAACTAATGACATGGCCTCCTTGTTCACCTGATCTGAACCCCATTGAGAACCTGTGGTCCATCATCAAATGTGAGATTTACAAGGAGGGAAAACAATACACCTCTCTGAACAGTGTCTGGGAGGCTGTGGTTGCTAATGTGGGATTCAAGAAACTTGTCGAGACTTTAGATAAAAGGTACGACTTTCCATCCCGAAATCATTTCAGTCGAGTGTGTCTTCCTGCTCTTTATGATGAGTGTCGCCAGGGCGTTCTAAAGGACCTTGCTAATGTTAAATATTTCGCCACCACTACCGACCTGTGGTCAAGCCAAACAATGGAACCGAATATGAGCCTCACAGTTCATTTTATAGATGCTGATTTCAACATGGAAACTAGATGTCTACAGACGTCTTATTTCTCAGAGGATCACACAGGGCAGAACATCGCTGCTGGACTGAGACAAGCGATAGCTGCTTGGAACCTAGATGAGGGGAAACTCATCTGCATGACCACAGACAACGCCCGCAACGTAACACTAGCTGCTCAACTCAACGGCTGGATGAGGCTTCAGTGCTTCGGACACAGACTCCATTTGGCCATAGGTAAGCTGGATATGATTTACGGATGTAATTGTTAGAATCGAATGAAAAAAATTACCATACAGTGTTTACAACCTCAGGCTATGCATGTCTAAAAAAACCTTCATGAAAATGCAGAGGCCATCACATTTTTATTGTTTAATTGTTTACAGTCATTACCTACCTTTGTTGATTTTTCCCACATAAGTGTGATATTTGAGATTTTGATTCATGAGTGATATAACTTGCTTTGACATTTGATTCATTCTTCAACTAAAGGCCAGTAGTAGTTTAATTAGGTGGCAAAGTGTTCTTTATATTTATTCTGTTTATTTTTATACAGTGTATTTTTGTACTTTTCAGTTGAACTTTATATCTCAAGACAAAGTTACTGTTTGTTTAGTAATTTATTTATTCAAAATGAATCCGTTATGAATTAATTATATGAATGAATACGTAATCTGAAAGATATTCTTTCTCTCTCACACACACAAATGACAGTCTTATCTGTGGATTGGATTATAACAAATAAATTAAAATTAATATCTTAACAGAATGTTCTTTTTTTTCCCAATCACAGAGAGAGCCATGAAAGATGCTAGGATTGATAGGGCAATTGGGGTCTGCAAGAAGGTGTTCAGCACCTTCTCCTACAGTTGGAAAAAGAAGAAGGAGCTGGCCAAGGCGCAGAAGGCCCTGAGTGTCCAACAAGATGGGGTTCAAGGCATGCAATGGTTTCCAGAGTCCTCGAGCAGCAGAAGGCTATTGCCCAGGTCCTCTCTCAAGACAGGGGAACCCGGCACTTCATCCCCACATGGCAGGACATTGATGTCCTTGAGCAAGACCCTGGGCCCTCTGGTTGATTTCACCGATGCTCTTTCTGGTGAAAAATATGTGAGTGTGTCCTTGGTGAAACCAACACTACATCTCTTCAATAACTCAATCCTGGCAGACCAAAATGATGACAATCAAGAAAAAAATTCTGGACTACCTAAATGAAAAATACAATGACCTACCAACCCAGGAGCTGCTAGACATTGCCACTGCCCTGGACCCGAGGTTCAAGATGAAGTACAGCAGTGAAGTCAGCCAGGAGTCAGTGAAAGCGAGATTGACAAGAGAGATGAAGGAGATGACGGTAATAATTCTATTCTATTCTAATATAATTTATAATATACATTCATTCAGTTTGTGTGTAGTAAAATCGTAATTTAATTTGAAGCTTTAATGTTAAAATCATAGTTGTACTACACAGACAAACATGTTTTTTCTTTCACACTCTGACCTCTAATTTTTCCCTTAAAGGAGACTCCAGTGATGCAGATGCCTGCTGAATCTGATGACACAGAAGAAGCAAAGAAGAAGAGGAGGAAGAAGGGCCTCGGCAGTTTCTTCAAGGTCCCTGAGGGCACTTCTCCAGTTGGTGTGGAGCCTGCTTTGCATCCAGATGAGGCCATAGCCTTAGAGCCACAGGCCTACCTCCAGGCAGTGACTCTTGACACTGAGGAAGACCCCCTGGAGTGGTGGAAGCAATCCCCGAAGCTCTTTCCAAAGTTGTCCCTCCTTGCGAAGAAATATCTTTGCATCCCAGCCACAAGTGCCTCTTCGGAAGGGGTCTTCAGCACAGGTGGCAATATTGTCACCTGTCTGCGTGCATCTCTGACGCCAGATCATGTCAATAGGCTTGTCTTTCTGGCTAAAAACCTTACATAAAGAAAGAGTGTAAAAGTAAAGGACTTGAGCATGCACATTTGTTTTCTATTTTAGTTGTTAAAGATCAGTAGTTTAAGTCGTGGAATTCATTTCATGGCTAAATGTTCTTTATATTTATTTTATTTTCATACACTGTGTACTTTTCAGTTGTTGAACTTTATATTTTATATTTCAAGACAAAGTTACTATTTGAGTCCTTTTTATGTATACAGTATTGTTTACAATCAGTGGTGCCCTACTGGATTGTCTTTCCCAGGTACCACACACTAAGATTTACATGCCTCAAAGTAACGTGTGATGTTTGACCTTGATTCATGAAGGATGACTGAAAATAAATAGCTTTTACATTTCTTTTTTTTTTTTTTACTATTGAAAGTAGTTTCAGTAGGTTGTGGAAGTTCATGGCAAAATGTTCTTTATATATATATTCTATTTTAATACAGTGTGTTTTTGTACATTTCAGTTGTTGTTGCACTTTACACAAAGTTACACTTTTAGTTTGGGAGAATTAAGTCAGTTTTGCTAAATGTCTGTAAAGCTACAGATGATAAATGTTAGAAAGTCAATTTTATGTTCAATAATTGGCTTTAATCACAGTTACTGAATAATTGTGTTAAATAATCGAGATATCAATTTCATTCAAAATAATCGTGATTATCATTTTTGCCATAATCGTGCAGCCCTTAAGAAACCCGGTCTTGATGTCTCTGTATTATCCAATCATCGACCGATTTCTACGCTGCTATTTCTTTCTAAGGTTCTTGAGAAAGTCGTTTATAAGCTGGTTTCAGACCATTTAGATAATAACAATTTTAAGAAGTTTTTCAGTCAGCATTTAGAACAAAGCATAGTACTGAAACTGCGCTTGTGAGAGTATTCAATGATATTTACCAATATACTGATGTGGGTGACAGTATTTTTATTACTCTTAGATCTGACCGCTGCTTTTGATACTCTTGATCATGTTATACTTCTCAATCGACTGGAGAATTTTTTTGGTCTCTGGTTCAGCGCTCTTCTGGATGAGTTTATACCTGGCTGACAGGTATGTGACTGTTAAGATTGGCATCTTCTTCTCAAGGTATGCTCCCCTGAAATATGGGGTCCCACAGAGCTCTGTAGTAGGTCCTCTGCTTTTATTTTATGTTTGCTCCCTCTTGGGGCCATCTTTAGGAAATATAAGCTTGACTTCCATCTTTATGCTGATGACTGTCAGGTCTATACTCCTGTTAAAGCTAAGGATTTAGATCTGAGTTGTCTTTGTGAGGATAATAATTGTGTATGGGTTGTAATTTTCTCCATATTATTGAGTCTAAGACTGACTTTATTATGTTTGCACCAAGTGGTGCTCTTGTAGTTACTCAGTCTCATATGATGCAAAGGATGATGTGTCTAATTTGGTTGTTAAGAATGATTCACAGCTTACATTTGATGTTCAAGTCAATAATGTGGTTCAAGTATGCTTTTTTCACCTAAAGAACGTTGGTTACGTATTGTAATCCCAGCTTCTGAGTCTACTTGCAGCCCTTAAGCTAGCTGCTATTGGAGCTAACCAGTTAGTTATTATTAGATATTTATTATTATAATGCATTTAATGCATTTTGTTTAGACAACTGCAATAGTCTTTACTTGGGTGTTGATCATGGGTGTATTGCTAGGCTGCAGCTACTTCAAAATGCTGCAACCCGCCTTTAGACTGGCACTGGTCGATTTGATCATATCATTCCAGTTGTTGCCTCTCTGCCTTGGATCCCAGTTAAGTTCTGTGTTCAATTTAAGATTTTGGTTCTGGCCTACAAATGTGTAAATAGCCTTGCTCCTAGCTCTTTATCTGGAATTCTAGTGCCATATATCCCATCTTGTGGATTAAGATCAGCTGTCCTAGTGAGCAGAACTAACTGTCTTCACAAGCTGCTGATCTAGCAGCATGATGCTCATTATTATTTTATGGGTTATAGACGAGTGTTGATGCTCTGTGTTTGTATTTCTGCAGTGAGCCTTACAATCTCACCTCTTTCCACCCACAGTTTCTTCTTAAAACACGTATTACGTTTATCGTTTTTGATGCATTTTAACGAGCTTCCGCTGGGCCATGATTTCATTATAGGATACAAACTTTACAGCACTCTCACAGAGTAAACGTTCGGCAGATATGTTTGTTTACATTTTTGCCCCGCTACAGTGTTAGGGAAAGGAAGGGCGGGGCATACGCGATGCTGCTGTAAGGGTATCTCTAGGCTCCACAGTAGCAGCGACGGATGGCTGGTTTGACCGGCTCTGAGAGGCGCTAATTAGAATTTGCAGATAGCATTTTTTTCCTTCCACCACTCGCATAGTGATGTCTGGACTTAAAAGCAACTCATTAGATTCATAGTTATTTGTTAAAGTATTGCATTACCATAAATAGTAATGTGTTTACTAGGGATGAGCCGGATACTCGTTTCAGACGAGCATTTTTGACGAATACGAGCATGACACGAGTAAAATGAGTCAATATCTGTAATCGTGCTGAAGGAAAATCCTCATTGGGTAACTGACTGTCTTCACGCTCTGTTATTGGCCAGTCACAAAGAGCGCCCGCCCCTCCCTACACACAAAACTGCAGCCGGCCGGGAGCGCAGTCCGGCTCATCCACGCACAAACACAGACAGTAACGGATCTCGCTGTGATTGCTTCACTTTCTCACGTTTCTTCAGTTTTCCCTAGGTTTTCTTCAGCGGGCCTCTTTTTCGGTTGAATATTAAAAGTGACTTTTTTCGTAACTTACATGGTGCATTTGACAAGACAGAGCTGACGTGCTGTGTTAAGTCACTACCTCCGCTCCGGTCGGGTTTTTTATTTTTTTGATCTCTCTCTCTCTCTCTATCTCTCTCTCTCTCTCTCTCTCTCTCTCTCTCTCTCACCCACCCCCACCCCCAAATTCCACTACCTCCACTCCGGTCCGCAGCCGCTCGCTTCCGAACTCAGTTTTTACTGCTACCTGCCCTTACAACAGCTCCGCTCCGGTGCGGAGACCTGAGGTGGGCAAATAAGCATGCGCGGGATTTTCGAGATCTTGCGATACAGTCCGAGCAATAAACGCGGAAGTTAGATCCAAACACCCGTTGTGTGGGAGAAGCATCGAAATGAACTGTTTAATCTGCCTATCATTTCTGTTGAGAGATCAGCAGTGTTTGGATCAACAAAGTGTGACTACTTTGATAGTGGAAACTGTATTTATGGCTTACTTTTGTGCATTTAAACTTCAGCCGCCACTGATAGTTGTTAAAAGTTGTTAAACCTGTGCATATGTAACAAAAAACGCCTTTTGTTTATCGATGTATTGTGAAAAACGGAAGTTGTGCCCGCTCCTTTTCCTGTTGGACGGTTGTGATTTCTGTCCATTTACTGCGGAGGTGCTCCGGTGTCCGGCGAAAATAAGATCGATTCTATTTTTGCCGGACGCCGGAACAGAGGGCGGCGCACGGCGCCGCACTGCCGGAGCACAGCCGCAGTAGTGGAATTGCTCTGATTGACTACAACGGGACCGATTTTGCTCCGGTGTTTGTGTCGGAGCGGAGCGCAGCAGAGCGGAGGTAGTGGAATTTGGGGGTCACTCACTCACTCACTCACTCACTCACTCACACACACACACACACACACACACACACACACATTAATCAACATTGTTTTGTTTAACTTTGTGTGGGAAAATGCCAAGAACGTTAAGAAAAAAATCAGTTTAATCAAATTAAAATTAAAAAATATATATAAAGTTGTGTCTGGCTCTAGCATTTCATATTTCCTAGTTCTTACTGCATGAGTTCAGATGTATTAATCCATGCACTCAAATATTAATGTTCTGATTTTATTGAAAAACTTGTTCTGTAATAGTTCCTTTACTATTGTGATCAAAAATATTTAATCTCAATTCTGAGGCTGCTCTGTAAATAGTTTTCAAATAAACAATACAAATAGCAACTTCTGATCAATCCATATCAATTTCAGACTTAAAATAATATATTGATGTAAACCACGCCCACTTCCAGTTAAACCACGCCCACTTCCGGGTTATGCCACGCCCATTCCGAGTACAGATACAGATACAGATAATTTAGTTGGTTGAACAGATACAGATACAGATAGTGGTGTACTCGCTCATCCCTAGTGTTTACCAACATTGGTTATGTATATTACTGATTGCAAAAACACCCCTAGGTCTTTTGTCTTGTCCTTTTACTGAATATTTATCTTTTATATATTTCTGCTTGATTCACTGCAGTTTTAAGGAAGAGAGAAGAGACGGATGAGAAACCTCTGCTCTTACATTTCCACAACCATCAAATGAAAGACGGAGGTGTCCCAACCAGCAGCTTGGCTGGGCAGATGGCAGCAAAAGTTGGTGGAGGAGCAGAAACTAGCAAGAACCTAGATCTGGACCCTAATGAAAAGACATCCGATTCTTCAGAGATTGAAGTTAGCGGAGAAGATGAAGATGATGTGAATCTAGACTCTGAGCTTTCAGACTCTGGGCCTGAAACTGGAAACGGAGACCATGGCTGTAAGGAGAACAAGTCTTCGGAGTCAGATATTAAGACCATCAACGAATCATTTAGCTGCCCTGTGTGTGGTATACGGTTCCTCCACCAGTGGTCTCTTCAGGAACATGTGAGAGTGACAAGTCATTTAGCAGTAAAGTCTTCCGAGTGTTCGGTTAATACAAAATGTGTGATAGAGAAGCAACATGGAGGCTCATGTAGAAAAGTTCAGAAAGAACCTAAATCATTTAGTTGTGATGACTGTGGAAAAAGATTTAGCCTAAAGTCCAATTTAACCCGTCATATGAAAGGCCACACCGGGCAGAATTCTTTTGCCTGTGAGCTCTGTGGATACAGATGTACCCAAAAGGCAAATTTAAACACACACATTAGAGTCCACACAGGAGAGAAGCCTTTTGCCTGTGAGCTCTGTGGATTCAGATGTACCCAAAAGGCAAGTTTAAACACACACATGAAAGTCCACACAGGAGATAAGCCTTTTGCCTGTGAACTCTGTGGATACAGATGTACCCAAAAATCAGATTTAAACACACACCTGAAAGTCCACACAAGAGAGAAGCCCTTTGTTTGTGAGCTCTGTGGATACAGATGTACCAAAAAGGCAAGTTTAAACACACACATTAGAGTCCACACAGGAGATAAGCCTTTTGCCTGTGAGCTCTGTGGATACAGATGTACCCAAAAGGCAAGTTTAAACAGACACATGAGAGTCCACACAGGAGATAAGCCTTTTGCCTGTGAGCTCTGTGGATACAGATGTACCCAAAAGGCAAGTTTAATCAGACACATGAAAGTCCACACAGGAGATAAGCCTTTTGCCTGTGAGCTGTGTGGATACAGATGTACCCATAAGGCAAATTTAAACACACACATTAGAGTCCACACAGGAGAGAAGCCTTTTGCCTGTGAGCTCTGTGGATACAGATGTACCCATAAGTCAAGTTTAAACAAACACATGAGAGTCCACACAGGAGAGAAGCCTTTTGCCTGTGAGCTCTGTGGATACAGATGCACCCATAAGGCAAATTTAAACACACACATGAGAGTCCACACAGGAGCGAAGCCTTTTGCCTGTGAGCTCTGTGGATACAGATGTACCCAAAAATCAGATTTAAACACACACATGAAAGTCCACACAGGAGAGAAGCCCTTTGTGAGCTCTGTGAATACAGATGTACCAAAAAGGCAAGTTTAAACACACACATTAGAGTCCACACAGGAGATAAGCCTTTGCCTGTGAGCTCTGTGGATACAGATGTACCAAAAAGGCAAGTTTAAACACACACATGAAAGTCCACACAGGAGATTAGCCCTTGCCTGTGAGCTGCGTGGACAAAGATTTAGCCGAAAGACAAATTTAAAGAGACATACGAGCATCCCCAAAAGGCTCGAGGGATTTATTTAACAACAGTACTTCCAAATGTACTTATTAGACTATTTAGTTTTTTTTTACAACCTTAATGTTAGTCTTGTACCTCTGCTCAACTATCGTTGATCAAGTCTGTACTCGGCCCTTGAACCACCTCTTCTTTTAATTTTCTTTTTCCAAATCTCCTTTGTTTTTTAAACTCAGACCTTACCAAACATTTGAGATGTTCATTCATGAATTCTGAATACAAAAAAAATTACTTAAAGATTAAGAAAAAACTGTTATACCCTCCTGTATTTAAGAAACAGACAAGATAACAGACACATGATGGTTGTAGTACATAACCCACTGCAATTTACAGCTGTTGGATACCGGTGGCGTCTGCTTTAAACAATTTATCTGTATTTAAAGTAATAGCATACAATGTTGTAATAACTGCAGCTTAAAAATAACGTGTCTTCATTCATTTGGAGCCCCTAGGAAGAAATCCCACCTTAAAGGCTATGGAGAGACAGCTGGGACTGTTGTCAAGAAGTCATAAATTACAAGGCGGCTCTGTGGAGACTCCATTCTCCTACAATAGCATTTTGCTATTCTAAGCAGGCTTAGGAATGTGCCTGTACCAGAGTTTTTAGAGATGCTTTTGCAGAGTTATAAGCAGTGGACAGATGCCGGAAAGACAGAACCACTTTTGGGCTGCATGGTTCTCCACCGGTGTACCGATGCTTGTATTAACATGGACTAGATTGTAATAAACCGGTTATCATTTTTAACTCAAACTTTGCCATGATTGAGTCATAGCACTCCATGAAACAGCTCAGCATGAAAATTAACCACATTCCCTTTATTTCTGATGACACAACTAATCACTGCTGGTGGACATTTAATCACAGACACTTAGCACTTCTGTATGCGTTCTGTATTCAGTGTGAACGAGGCTTCACGCCCTCTCTCAGTAGCGCAGCATCGTGCGGTTGTCCTGTTCTGATTTTTTTCATGTAGTTGTGGTTTAGGCATTTTTTTTTTTTGCCATTTTCACTGATAAAAGCTGTGGGTTTTTTCATTTGTGAATTAATTAAGCAATACAGATCACAGTCCAATGCTTTTGTTTTGTTTTGATTTTTAAGTAAGGTTCAGCAAATGCTGTCGAATCACTGAACGCCATCGTCTGGGAAGTGAAATATGAACTGTGTCCAAGTACCCCTGTAATGTGCTTGCATACCACTAGGCAGAAGAAAAAATATTTGTATTTAGTGTCTCTCAAGGTAAGCTCACAAGGTGCTTTATAAGAACGACAAAACTGGAAAAAAAAAATGAACAAATAATAAACCATAATAAAAATAGAAAAAAAAGTAAATTTTTAGACTAAAAATGAATCCTGTTGTGTGAAAAAAGCTGCTGAGGAAGAATCATGAACAATGTGTGTTTAGATGGTAAATGACAGAGTTTAGAGCGGTTCTGGTTCAGTCCGCTGTTGGATCATCAACACTTGACAGGAGACATGATCGTCTTTTATACAGAAGGTCTCATGTCTTCATCTGTCTAGAGCTGTTATGATGGTTTAATTTTTGAATTATTTGAACATTAAAGGTTCTCTGCAGACCTGTTAGTGTCCTCCATCATTCAGGTGTTATGAGTGTGTTCTGTTCTTCTGGGTAAAGCAGCTGTTACAGGATGGTGGAGATTTCTTTCAATCTTTGATTTTAGTCATTTTTATTTTCTATCCTGTTTAGTTTAATGAGACGTTGTTGTTTCACTAAGATTAAAGTACACTTTGCTACAGCAATGATCTTTATGTTTCATTATTTGTTTATGTGGTGTTGAGGGCATTCATTTTGGTGGCCAGAGGATTAGATCTCTGCTTTTTGCAGATGATGTGGTCCTATTGGCTTCATCAGAACAAGATCTCCAGCTTTTGCTGGAGCGGTTCGCAGCCGAGTGTGAAGCAGCTGGGATGAGAATCAGCTCCTCTAAATCTGAGACCATGGTCTTAAATCAGAAAAGGGTAGAATGCCTTCTCCAGGTCACGGACGAGGTCCTGCCTCAAGTGGGGGAGTTCAAGTATCTCAAGGTCTTGTTCACGATTGAGGGAAAGATGGAGCGTGAGATCAATGGGTGGATTGGTGCTGCATCTGCAGTGATGCGGGCGTTGTACCGATCTGTCGTGGTGAAGAGAGCTGAGTCGGAAGGCAAAGCTCTCGATTTACCGATCGATCTACGTTCCTACCCTCACCTATGGTCACGGGCTTTGGGTCGAGATCTCGGATGCAAGCAGCTGGAATGAGTTTTCTCCGAGGGTGGCTGGGCTCTCCCTTAGAGATGGGGTGAGAAGCTCTGTCACCCGGGAGGGGCTTGGAGTAGATCTGCTCCTCCACATCAAGATGAGCCAGTTGAGGTGGCTCGAGCATCTGATTAGGATAGAAAATGGATGGAAGGATATTTGTTTCTTATTGTAATAAAACTTACTTTGCTGACTGAATCCAGGACTGTTTTCTCTAAGTTTCTAATAAAATCCCACAACACTACACACGGCTCCATCAGCTGTCCTTTCATCTGGTGGTGGGGACGTCCAGAAGCAGCTGAGAGGCTGACCTCAGCATTCTGACTGGATTGTGTTGCTGCAGCTAACCAGACACATTTCTTAAAACCTCCTGAACTGAATGATGAAACGAACAGGAAGCCAGTGTAGAGAGGCCATGCAGATGTGATGTGGTGGTGCCGTCTCCTACCTGTCTTCAGGTGAGCTGCTGCATTCTGTGCTGAAACTGATGATTTCAGATGTTGATAAAAGCTTCTCTCTGACACACCTGGAGAATGAAGACTTGAGCTTGGTCACATGACCCATCTGGCTCCCACTCATCTATATGTAATCCATACTATCTAGATGTAACTAGAGGCTGATTCATGTGTTCACACACAACTGTTGGGGAAACATTTTCTGTCAGCCTTTCCCAAGGTGGCCCAGCTCCAGATGTTCTCAGAGTGGTGGTGCTACAGCTTTTTCTGCAGTAGAGAGGTGGTCTTAAACGCTCTGAGCAAGGATGATATGGCACATCTGGACTCTTCCTACTAACCATCAGGGGGCGCTTGTCCAGCTCTGCTAGGCAGACATTGGTTTCAACACTTGTGGCTTCATTCTTTCGATTCCGAAATCTTAGGTGGATGCAGAGTCTGTGATGCTGTTAGCTGAGGACCGTCAGCTATGGAGGCACCACCCACATCAAGCAAGCACTTTGTTTGCTCACAAAGAAATGATACCAAGTTTTTGTGCAGCTTTCATTTGAATACCATACCACCTTTATTTATATAGCACTTTAAAAACACAGCCATACGGCCGACCAAAGTGCTGAACAGTCACACAATAACAGAGATAAAAACATAGAACAGAGCAATAAAATACAGTTAACAGATAAGAAACAAGCCAATAAAAAAGCTCAGATAAAAACCTTACAATAGTTCCGATAAAAACCATTACAATGGATGATAAAATAAGAGTAGTAAAAACCAAAATAACAGCTAACTGTTAAAAGCAAGGGTAAAATAGTGTGTCTTTAGTCTAGACTTAAAAACTGCCATGGAAGATGCCAGTCGAACTGCGGCTGGAAGTTCGTTCCACATTTTAGGACCGGCAACAGAGAAAGCTCTTTGTCCACATGATTTATAACATGCTTTTGGTACCTCGAGGAGCAACAGGCTAGAGGACCTGAGTGTGCGACCGGGAGTATAAATCGCAAAAAGATCAGACAGGTACATGGGGGCAAGACCATGGAGGGATTTGAAGACAAAAAGCAATATTTTATATTGGACCCTGAAAGTGATGGGCAACCAATGAAGGGATTTTAGAACCGGAGTTATGTGCTGGCGCCTGTCAGTACGTGTGAGGAATCTAGCCGCTGCGTTTTGGACGAGTTGAAGTCTGGCAAGGGTTGACTTATTAACACCCAGCAATATTGCGTTCGAATAGTCGAGCCTAGATGTGATAAAAGCATGAACAACTGATTCCAATTTTTTCCTAGATAAAACTGCTCTTAATTTGGACAGACGGCGGAGTTGGAAAAAACAGGATTTTACGGTGGCATTGACCTGGGCGTCCATCCTAAGAGATGAATCCATCTTTACACCCAGGTTAGTCACAATGGTTTTTAGATTTTGAAAAACGGATGAAAGATCTGGGGTTTGGAATGGGCTAGATCTGACCGGATTAAAAAGGATAAGTTCAGTCTTGGAATCGTTGAGATGCAGGAAATTTGAGGCCAGCCAACATTTCACGTCTCGTAGGCAATCTAGAAGAGGCTGGATCGATTGCTGGGGTTTCACCGACATGTAAATCTGGCAGTCATCAGCATATAAATGATATTGAACAGAATGTTTTTTTAGGATTAAGCTGAGTGGAAGGAGGTAAAGGCAAAACAACAAAGGGCCCAGAATAGACCCCTGCGGGACCCCACATGAGAGAGGAGCAGAGCGAGATGAGATATTGTTTAGCACCACCCGTTGGGACCTATTAGACAAATAGGACTTAAACCAAGTTAGGGCTGGACCACGTATTGAAGCAACCTCCTCTAAACGTAATAAAAGGATGTGGTGGTCGACGGTGTCAAAGGCGGCGGACAGATCGAGAAGTAATAACACAGCAAAAGCGCCAGAATCCGTAGCCATAAAAATGTAATTAAAAACACGGAGGAGAGTGGACTCAGTGCTGTGCAGGGGTCGAAAACCCGACTGAAAGATATCCGTTACGTTATGATCAGCTAGATGAGCCGATAGCTGATCATAGACCACCTTCTCCAGAATTTTTGCCAGAAATGGAAGCTTGGAAATAGGGCGATAATTTGAAAGAACTGAGGCGTCAGAGCCGGGTTTTTTTTAGAAGCGGCTGAACCACAGCATGTTTGAAGACAGGGGGTACAACACCGGAACTAAGACTGGTATTGATAAAGTGTTGGATATGATGACCTATTGTTGGGAACACCTCTTTCAGGAGGCGCGGAGGAAGGATGTCGTCTGGGGAACCAGATGGTTTCGTCGACAGAAGCAAAGATTGCAGACATGGTAGGGAAATCGGTTGAAAGCTGAGGAAGGGCGCTGTATTAAAGGTTAAGGTAGGTAGGGTGTACAGAGGTAGTGATAAGCTAGTCCTGATAGAGGAAACCTTATCAGAAAAGAAACCAAGAAACTGATCGGGGAGATTTGGTGCAATAACTGAAGAGTTGGATTCACGAGGAACGAGAACTGAATTAATAGTTTTATGAAGAACTTTTTGATTGGACCGGTTTGCAGAAATAATTTTAGAAAAATAATGGCTTCTGGCATGCATAACTGCTTGTTGATATTTGGACCAGAGGTCCTGCAAGATCTGATATATAATCTGGAGGTGGTCTTTTTTCCATTTGCGCTCAGCTTGTCTACAAAGTTTTCTCAAACTTCGAGTATGAGAGTTGAGCCAAGGGTCAGATTTATGTTTGGAGTGAGCAGGTTTCAGAGGAGCAACAGCATTTAAAACTGTAAGGCATTTTTCATAAAAAAAAGCGATCTGATCATCCAGACTAAGCTGACTAGGCAGATCAGACACAGAAAAAGCACTGACAAAAGATCCTGCTGTTTCAGAGTTAAAGAAGTTGTAACTCCCCCCTCAGAGTCTTACTCCACCCACGTATCAATTTTAAAAACCAACATTAGTAGGCGTTGCCTGGAGGACCGAGAGGGCAGAGCCGTGGCAGTGACGAAGACGACGGCTAACTAGACGATGCTAGCTCCCTTCACTCTGAGCAGTCATTAG